TGTTATGATCATCGTCCTCATCATCCTTGCTATTCCGATCAAACTTTGACCTTGGATGTTCTAACTCCAGCATCTCCTCCTCTATGAAGGATTCATCCATCTCTGCATCATATCCATCATCCGTTGGGGCTTCCTCTTTCTTCTCCGCATTCTTGCCGCTATCAGACACTGTGACCCTAAGACCAGTGGTAGCAGAGTTTTTCACATGAACATTGGTATGCATGTTGTAAGTCCTCTTCTGTTGGGCATTCTTGCGAAAGAACCTTCTATATTGTGTCCTTGTCATCCCATCCAGTGCAATTGGCTGTTGACGACGAACATCATATGTATGCCATCCACTTGATGGCACATTAGGCATCTTGAAAGTTCTTCTGACAGGTGGTGAACTCCTGGCAGGTAGGGAGAGTCCAAAAGGTGCACTTTTGAAAGGCGCACTTTTGAAGGGTGGGGCATTTTGAGCAACCCATTGTCTACGTTGGCCTCTTCCCCATACAGGTGCACGCACTCCTTCCACGTGACGTTCATATGGTGGATACCTTGGCTTGAATGGTCTTTGAGGACCAAGTCTTTGACAGACTGGTTGGGTTGGTCTATCTCCACCAAGATTCAGCTTCCCTTTGTACTGTGCACACAACTTTTCTTCATCAGCCGGATCAATACGTGGCCCATCTTGCATGCCAGTTGATGATGAACCACCCTGCACAATGACATTGGAGTTGCCACTTGGCTGCGGTGTTGTATCCAGTACCAGATTGAAGCATGGTAAGTCAATCTTTGAAAAGTCAGGATTGACCATATTGACGCCCACGATATTTGGGAATGGATCAGTATCCACTGTCATGGCATCCTTCTTAGGGTCTAGGAACTTGATGCGTCCCTTGTCAATCGCATCCTGCAAAACATTACGAAAAACCACACAACTATTAGTGGTGTGTGACATACTATTATGCCACTTGCAATAACGTTTTCCTTTTAACTTCTCAGGGGGTGGTATACTATTCCCCCCAGACAGCTTAATCTGACCATCCTTGTACAATTGGTCAAAAATTAAGTCCAACTTGCTAACATCAAAAGAAAATTTTCTATGTTGGACTAGAGCACGATTAGGTTTCCCAACTAGCTGTTCATTATCCACTTTGGCTAAGGACGCACAAACATATGGCTTTCCTTGCACAATTCAGCCAGATCTATCTCGACACCATCCACATCCTGAGCAACATGGTTAATGGCATAATCAAAGTTGGGGTGGTACAATCCCCTCGATGCACTACTTCTATTCTCTTCTTCTCGTAGAAGAGTCTCGTACCTAACCGCACATGACATCAACTGGAATAAATCAGAGAACTCCCTATCGTGAAATTTTTTACGAAGTTCAAAGTTTAAACCACCTTGTGCTAGCTTGACAAATTCACGTTCTGTCAAGTTCACAAAACAACGATTACGTACATTTTTAAAACTTGTCAAGAAGTGTTCCACAGTCTCCCCTGGTTACTGGCGCATACGTGCCAAGTCAGCCATGGTCACTTCTGCTTCAGAACGATAAAATTGTGCATGGAACATTTGTTCCATTTGTTGCCAAGTTTGCACTGAATTAGATGGCAAATTGACGCACCATGCGAAAGCAGGTCCTGTCAAAGAGTTGCCGAATAAACGTAACTTGACAAAATCACCTACATCACCACATTGGACAGTAAATTGCCCAACATGCTCCACTGTAGATTGATCACCCGTTCTAGTAAAAGGTACAAACTTCGGTACCCTAAACCCTCTTGGGAACGGATACATTCTATCCACCCACTCCGGATACGGCTTTCAATAGACAGGTGGCATCATTGGTCTCATACCAAAACCAAACAGCTCAGCCAACAACTGTGCCATCTGATCACGGAGTGTATTCACATCATGCCCCCCTTGGTGCCCCCCTAGCAGTATGAAACCGCCGGGATCCACGCCTTGTATGTTCATAGGGGGAGGGATTTGCTGCGGGTACGCATATGGTGGTACTAGGTCAACATTGTTCGGACCCAAACCAAACCCAACATTAACTGGAGCCATGTATGGTCGAGCTTCTGGAATGTTTTGTCGAGCAACACCTTGCACAGGTGGCGGTTGCTCAACATGGATCTGAAATGAAGTGGCGTGACTCACGCCCACGTTCAACCTTTGAGGTGTTGCTACGGTGGTTACCACTGGTGGTGTAGGGTTCACCGGGCGGGGCTGCTCACCTCGACCACCACCATTGGATGGTAGGTTAATGTTTTCACTTTCAAGATTTGAAAAGTCTCAACCATCTGAAGACAAAGCAATAGTTTGTAAAACTGATCTATTCAACAATTGCCTAAACTCACCCAAATCATTCGTATTTTTGTTTACCAACTCAAACAATTGAGCCAATCATCTATCTACGCGGGAATTGAGACAATCAACTTGAGATTTTACCTGATGAGCCATAACTCTGGCTTCCTCTATCAACCGACGGCTCTCCGCCATCATTTGGCGGTTTTCCTCCGTTGCTTTGCGGTTTCCTTCGTTTCTTTGCGGTTCTCCTCCATCATCTGATTAAGAGACACCACTGCCTCTCCTAGATCTGCATTTGGTGCCATGTTTGGCACCTCTGCTCCAGCATTGTTTCCTCCTGCTTGGTCAACTTCAACGTTAACCAACTGCCCCTCCTCCACAGCACCTTGTGGAGGATCACCATCCTGAATCCTTCGTCGCGGAGCCATATTGAACACACGCTGTCCCACCAGGTGTGCCAATTTGTTTCAGGTGGAATTTCGCGTGATCAATGCACCCTGACTTCAAGAAAACAAAAAACGATGTTACTCGGTTCACACCTCTTCAAACACTGTTCGAACGAGGGTGTTCGATGCATACATAAAAGGAACTGGCTACTTTTATCTCTATTCCTATGGAGATTCCTTGAGAGCTCCGCAAATACTGACTACAACTAAACAGAGAAGCCTCGTTGGAGGGTCCCTAGTGCTACTGCTACGGTTACTGTTCTAGAGAGAAAAGATAAATTTTGACGAGACTTGTTGTGGTACGATTTGTCCGTCCTTCTTCCAGAGTCTTGCTGCCAGTTTTGTTGTGCCTCGCCCTCTAACCGCCTTCTCTCTCTCTCGCTTCCCAAAAAATCAGCTCCACGTAGCATCCACTAACTTCCCCGAGCGTTCTTTGCAAGTCAAGTGCTGCTTCTGGTAACCACCTCGACACGTCATCATGTCACTTGACCATTGGACGGTCACCGTACACAAAACAAATTGGATGGTATCCATGTTGACTAAGACAACAGTCCATGGATGATACACATATTAAATGGTCACCATACCCTAGCATCATCCATTAGGGTTTGGAGTTTGGACGGTATCCATTACATTGGATACTACCATCCATTATGGATTTTGGATGGTATCCATGTATTTGGACACTAGCATCCATTATGGATTTGGATGGTATCCATGTATTTGGACACTAGCATCCATTATTCCTATGGCCTGACTTGATAAATTGGACCATTCATGTACACATGGACCAACTACTTAAATTGGTCAAGCTGTTCACACAAGCAATAATTAATGAAAATTATTTTGGTGTAAACACAAAACCAAACCAATTATCCACATTATCCCAATACTATCGATTAAAACGGTTACCACGATAACCACTCCGTTCGAACACCCCTACCAACACCTTTCTTTAAATGGCACGGATAGGATGCTAATAGCATATAATGTTAGCACTCTACTAACACTCTTAATAAGGATAGTTTGGTAACTACACTCCCGTTCACTTCCTTTTCCTGGCCTAATCAATGAGAAGTCGAACCCCAACACACAAAATTTCCAGGCAAGACTTCCTCTTCTCCTCCTCCACCACCGCTTAGTGGCATCGTCGGCGTCCTGGATGTTGTCCTTCCTAATGACCTAGGAGTCTAGCACCTGCCGTCTTTATTCTTTAGCACCGGAACCCGCCCCGAGGTCGTCTTCCCAACGACCTCATGTCCTGGCCGTTGTCCTTTCCAACTCATCACAGAATTTCTCGCCTTGTCTTCGCCTACTATTACTCCACCGTCAGGACTCTCCACCTAATCTTCTACCTCCGAAGGGACTAGTGTGATGAAAATCGACGATTGCAGCGGCGCAAAGCTTCAATCAACCACCCAGTTCCCTTCGCTCTACTTAAGACACAATTGACGAAAAGCAAATTTGGGCCGGTTCAAGAAAAAAGATTATATTGTTGTTTATTGTGGATTGGGTTATAAGAGTTGTGGTCAACTTTAATTGCGAGAATAAAAATAGTTTCCAGAAACGAGATACTTCAATTATCACTTAGTGAATTTGTGGGGTGTTTTAGCAAACTTGTGGCCTCATTTAGTGAATTTGTGGTTTGCTTTTATACATTTGTGGCCTCGTTTAGTGAATGTGTGGTTTGCTTTTATACACTTGTGGCCTCGTTTAGTGAATTTGTGGTCTAGGCTTGTGGTCTACTTTGAAAAACTTGTGGTGTTCTTTTATTAATTTGTAATGTGGTGAGGTTGTGGTCTAGATTTTGTGGTGTGAATATTGTAGTTCTCCACCCCTTCCCTCATTTAATTGCACAAGACACATGTGAATCTTCTTCCTCCAAATTTTCATAATCCCAAACATGCCCCTCCTTTCCTTTCCTTTCCTTTCATTAATTGTGGTAAACTTATTGAAATAAAAAAGTTATCCAAACGAAATGATCATATTGGTTAGAGATAGTGTTAACACCATGTTAACAAAAAAGTGTTACCACACTAGCCCCTCGCTATCTTTAAATATGAAAGAGAAACCTGCAACTCTTATTTCAAAATTGCTATGCAAAGAGGCATTTTTCGCGGATTTTTCCCCTACACTAGTTCTTTAAAAAAATTCTCAAAACAATATTTTTTATAAAAATTCCTAAAGTACACATGTTTTGAGCAAATCACTTGTGACAAAGCGATATATACATCCTGAAATTTAACCAGGCCACAAAATCAAAGAAATGACATGTAGTCAGGTACAATGAAACGACCTTTCTAGCCACCAAATGGGCTATCCTATTGCTACTCCGACCTACAAATCTTACATTAAACCCAGAGTGCACAACCAAACAAAGCAAGCCTTTTTTTGAAAATAGCACCAACTTGATTATCGCGGTAATTGGCCTGATAGATTATATCAATAATCACTTTGGAATCACCTTTGAACCTCGTCTCCAAGAAACCCATCTCCAGGCACCACTGGATCACTTCCCTGAGAACCAAGAGCTCAACTACCATAGGATCATCAATTTGGAACCCCTAGCCAAAATGACCTACCCATCTTGGTCTTTGATAATCATCCCCCCACTGAGTGGGACCCACTCTTTGTTGCCTCATCCCACATACAGGTAATAGGATAAGGATTATCTAAACTTACGTTACTATCTCGTGGGGCGCAAGGCCGCACAATATCGTCCATTGACAAATTAATCCATTCATGGTACTATTGGTTATACTGGCACATCAAAACTGGGATCTCAAATTGTTTGCCCTTATAGACAACCTAATTTCGTGACTGCCACATCCGCTAAAGGAATGCGACAATTGCCATAAATTGATGAGGTTGATGTATAAGAGCCATCAACTTTTTCAGGAAAAGCGGGAAAGTATGACGAGGTAACCCTTGACCAAAATGTTCAAGGCATAATGATCCCATAAAGATCTTAGATGGCTCGCTTGGAAGCACAAACTCAAACAGCCTGTGCTTTGCCTCCGCCACCCTAATTTGTCTGTTTCCTTGCCAGGGTATGTTCACTATTTCTCGTAGCTCTGCCACACTGACTCTATTGTCACTGAAAATTCACCCCAGAGAAATTGGTGGATTGAACTTCCTCAAGAGAAATTGCACAATTTGGTCCTCCGTTACGTGAGCCATGGTATGTGCTTGCACAATGTTCAGGAAAATCAGTATGTTACTCACCCTCCCTGTTAACCCCCTTCTCGGCGATCGGAATCAGCCTGCTCGCAAATTCGCATGGGTTAAAGGAGAAAGAATTGGGAAAATTAGGTCGAGTAGCATGATCCAGAAATTTTGGGATTATTGATCCAAAATGATCATCCCTTTGCGTACCCGAGCTGGGATACCACTTGGAGGATACGACTCTACTAACCGCTGCCAAAAACTACTCTCTTCGATTACGTGTTGTGAGAGCATGGGGCTTAAAGCTGGATATTAAATAGGTTAGAGAATTATATTTCATTCCAAGCAATGGAAATCCCACACGGCAAAGAACTCTTTGAGTTTGAGGTGTACAGGGATTCGGTCTTTGAATATTTTGATAAGAGATCCCCCATTTCTAGGACACAAAATTCGGGGTTGTTATCTCACTGATATGTTAGGCCCTGCCATTCCACCGTATCAACAATGGATTTCCGGCTTCTCTCCATGCACTAGTCATTTGCAGCGACTATACTGCTGTCGGTGGTTGATTTTGACACACCCTAGACGACTCTTTCGCCAGTTATGTCGCCTTGGATGATACGTACCCCAGAGTCGTTTTCGGCGGTAGGCGAGGATTGGGGATTAGTCATCCCCCCTTCTCTGTCCAACTATTAGGGGTGGGATTCCGGTTTCGGGTTTTCGGTTTAAACCGAACCCGAACCGGCAATACTGTTTTTGGTTTTCGGGTTTTCGGTTTCAACCCGAAACGAGATACAAAACGGTTTCGGTTTATGTAACCCGAAAACCGATACAAACCCGAAAGTGCCTTTTACGGTGACGTTTGGGATAATGGACCTCTAGCCTCTAGGGTTCGATCTCCATCTCCTTCACTCCTTGCGAGTTGGCGACTTGCGACAGACAGACTGCTCGAGTTGCGACTTCCGACCGACGACTGCTCGAGTTGCGACTTGCGAATGACGACTGCTCGAGGTCGAGGCTTCGCCGCTTCCCGGATCAGGAAACCCTCAACGCCCTCGCCGCCATCGCCCATCAGCCTCCTTGCTCGAGGATTTGCCGCTTTGGAGATCGAGAAACACCAAAACAGAGCCTCCCTTCTCAGCTTCTACTTCTACCAGTTAAACTCCTCGGCCCTCGCCGCCATCAACGTCCTCGCCGGCGCCATCAGCCTCGAGGGGATCTCCGACTTTGCCTTTCCTCCGCCTCCCAGCAATGCAGCAACCCATATTCGAGTCTTCAAGTTGGTCAATTTGCCCATCAAGGCAGCCACCTATCTAGGCTCGATTCTCATCTTCCCAGACTACTTCCCGCAGTCGTATCTTCAGACTTCAATCATGAATATGGCATCCCAGAAAGCATTCTTTTATTTCAGGCTAAATCATCAGAACCATGTTGCAATTTGGACAGGCTCTCCTGTACTCGACACACTCTGTTTCTCCCTAAACCGAAACCCAGACTCCAGAGGCCATTTTCGTAGCGATTTAGAGCTTTTTTCCCTCGTTCTTTTGTTCAATGCTTTTGGGTTCAGAGGGGTACATTAGACATGTGAGCTGTGGCAGGTTGATGATGTTGCCTTCTCAATCTCATGATCGACTTTCTTTGTTTAATTTTCTTTGTTTCGGTTTGTAGTTGGGTTTCGGTTTAGGGAGAAACAGAGTGTGTCGAGTACAGGGTTCGAGGGGCATCTATGCTCTGTTTTTATGAAGTTTCTTTTACTGGGATGTCCGATTTTTCTTTGATTGTTCTATGTGACGGAGAAACTTGGAATTTATCATGATTTGAATTAATACCGAAGACCTCAAATTAGGCTCTTCTTGCTCACTGTTAGGCAGAGCAACACTTTTATTTGCTATGGTTGGGAGTTGGTTATGTCTACAGGATTTGTATTGTATGCTCTCACTGTTGCATAATTGATTAAGCTTGATTCATGGAGTAATAAGCTTATGAACTCAACCAATGAAGTTGTAAAAGTTGAATGAAAAGAAGAGTAATGTCTTCAGGCTCTAGGAATGCCATCTCATCTTCTTCGCTCTGTGCTCAGTTTGTGATACAGAGTTCTGAAGAACTATATTCCATTAGAACTATATTTATCAGAAAACAAGTATTATAAGAACCCGGGGGGACTAAAATAGTAAAACACCAGGCTGAAAACATAGATTTATGTTGGTGGTTGCCAAGTCTGTTAAGTTTTATGCTAAATTCCATTAGACATTCCATCCTACTATGTTCTTCTAAACTCACGTGTTTTATTTTGGCAGGGAGAGTGAGGGTGATGAAGTGGTATTTCAAAATGGTAAAGACTTAATCTTTCTTTCTCTTTATTCTTATATTTGTTATCTCGATCAAGTCATATTCTAACAAGTTGTTATTGTTTATGTTATCCAGTATATGCAGCTTTTCAAGCTTGGAGTTCAAGTGCACCTGCGGGACCTAGCGGAAGCTCTTGTGCAGAACCTAGTGGAAGCTCTCCTGCTACCATGTTTTGGTCTCGAGTCCTACTATGTGACAAGTGGAAGAAGACTATGTCGACGACAATTCTGATGAGAATGATGAGACTTATGTAGATGTAGAGCCTAATGAGGAGTGATAATGACAGTAGTGTTTATCTTGTATGGTGGATGAATTTTTATTTTACTTGGATGTTATCATTTGAGAATTGTAAAACTAATGTGTTTAATTACGAGTTGAAGATAATCTCATCTATGATTGTCGGTATTTTATGTTGAACAAAATTATTTATAATTTTGCGCCAAACACCAAACATTTTTTTTGCATATGATAGTTGATATACCTTCAATTTTGGACCTATGGTATTACTAAAACATTTAATTATATGAAAATCCACAATTAAATGGCCCAAAAGATTGCATTACTTAACATAGCAAAATAATATATGATTATGCCCAAAAGGTTGTATTACTTAACATAGCAAAATAAGATATGATTAATTTACGTGTAGAATATGTTTAAGTATTTTACTTTGTCTCTAAACTAGTAATACTCTTTAATAGTTAATAGTATGTCTATAGTTATAGAACACATAAAATTAAATATTTTAATAATTAACTAATATTTTAATAATAAACTAATATATGAATATTAATTTTATAATGTCCACGTCCCAGAAAATTAAACATAATGGTTAAATAAGAATGTACAAATAATAAGAATAAAATTGGTTGTACAAGCAAAAGAATATAAAATTCAAATCACAAAAGTATTAAAAAAAAATTCAAACCAGTTCGGTTTCGATTTCACCCGAACCAAACCAAAACCGCAGTTATTTTTCGGGTTTCTGTACCCGGAACCCGCACAGCACATGGTCGGTTCGGTTTCGGGTTTTGGTTTCTCGGTTTTGGTTTCTCGATTTTTTGCGGTTTTCGGGTTCGGTTACCCGACCCGAACCGAACCGACAGGCCTACCAACTATATCGGAGAAAGCAGTTTAAACCTCCGCACCTCCATTTTCGACGTTCGAGACCTTTTATATTGATTAAAATTAAAAATTTCATGTTCCATCAAGATAAATCCTAGCTTCCGTTTACTGATTTGATAATGGGGTCTTCTTTTTTAGGGACATGATCCTGAGCTCTTTATCTGCCATTGAGACTGGTCAAGGTCGCCATGCTCTTTCCAGGATCGACTGCCAATCCTTCCCCACGAAGAGCCTTTAAATCTCTGCGCCTACAGATCCATCCCAGTCCGTGATTAACCAAACTAATATCTAGAATCGTTAAGAACGAAGTCGCTAATATCCGACCTGCCAGCCAGCAAAACTTGATGAGAGAGGAGAGAGCTCCTCTCATTTTTTTTTTTTTTTAATCCAAGGTTATACTTGGAGTTGTAAAACAGGAAGTTTATGTTGCTGCAAATTTGGGAACGATAAAATGAGGACTTGTTGAAATTAGAGATTCAGGTGCAGAACTGAACATAACCCTAAGTTTGTATCTCCTGAGAACTATGTCAATATGTTGAATTCGGTAGGAAACTTTTAGAGCATGTTTTTTTTATAAGAGCGAAAATTTCTATAGCTCTATCCTCGCCTGCGATTGTGATGCGGGACATATTCTTTTACTTTACTGATTATCTATAGAACTCAACATACAAAAATCTCATGCACACACTTTCATAACTTTTAAACCAAGACCATTGCCATAAGTACAACGACCGTTAATTTGACGTCACCTAAGCTTGTCGTTGCCGCTATATGATCATACTAAGTTCCCATGGTGTAGCCATGGGCATTGATCCTAGTGATCTCAAACAATGAAGTTAAGCTACTTACATGGTGGATTAATTGTGAGGGTGAGGGCTCGTTTGGTTTTGTTCGGGTTGGTTGATTAACTGTGTCGTGATCGTTAAACTTAGTTGGTTTGATTCTAGTTTCTCGTTCGTAATTGTCGATCGAATCAGTACATTTATTACTTGTCAAATCTGGACTCAAATTCGAGGTGTTACATGTATGATGTGAAGAAAAACAAACGGCACCAAAACAATAAAAGAGGCGAACTAGGGGAAAACAATTACAACGGCAGCAGGGCCATGAAACGTATATACAAATACAAAAGAATCAAACTGTCTCGCCACAAAACACTATTACACGTACTGTAAAATATACCTACGATAGAATATAATCAAATTTCTCACCACACAAAACGTTTTAACACCGAGCAACATGACTTTCACACATACAACACTAATTATAAACTCAAGATCACACAAATCGAACTCTTTTAAGAGATTGAAAACCTTCTCCGCCTAGGCTTGGTAATGTCGATCCCAGCGCTGTCATCGATGTTTAAAGTATCCTTGGACCCATGTCTGAAAGGATTCAGCTTTCCCAAAGTTTTAGACATCGAGGAGAAGAACGTCCCCCTTTTACCAGAGCCCCCTGCTTTGCCGGAGCTCCCCTGACTCCCACCAGTCTTCTTAATGTCCGTGATGTAAAGCTTCATCTTCATTAGCTCGGCTCTCAGCGCCTCGTTCTCTCTCACCAGGGATACATCGGTCTGTAGCTGGCTCTTTGTGGCCGCCGCTGCCGCCATGGGCGTGGTGCAATTTTCTGTGGTTGTGCCGCTCCTCAGCTGCAGCTGGTCGTAGTAGAGTGCGTGGAGGACGATTTGAACAGGTAGTCTTTTGTTTTGGGATGCGTGAAGTCGTGCTTCGTAGGAGAGCTTTAATGGATCCATCACGCTGCAGACTTTCTCCCGTTCTATCTCGTCAAGGTTTGGATGCGCCTATGATGAACACAGATAAAGATATCAGACAAATAGTTTAATTATACTAAACAAGTGCAGAGACTGAAGAATAGATAGAATTACTAAATAAATTATCACAGAAACACCACCAGTTGTGGAATTGTACCTTGAGGTATATGTCAATGGCGCGGTAAAGGTCATCGTCGACCTTCCTGGCCGTTTTAGGGACGAGAACAGCGATCCCATTGAACTTAGAGATGGTCAGCTCAGCATGAGTTGCAATCTCGCCAAGATAAGCATCAACAGTCTTAGCCACTTTCTGGGTAGCAGTGGAATAAGATTCCCTGAAATTGCCGCCATTGAAAACCCCCATGTTCTTCTCCTTGTCCACGAATCCGGAGATGATCCTCCTCACACTTTCCAGGTCGAACAGCCTCTCCCCATCGTAGGTGAAAGACAGAACCAGGAGATCGTCCACCATCACGTGCTCTAGAATGGCGGATATCCGCTTCTCCAACTCGTTCTTGCAAGCGATGGAGGTTTTAAGGAAGATTGCAGATCGGAGGAGGCAGCAGAGGAAATGAACAGGGAAAGCGGCGTTTTCGGCGGGTAACAACGAGACGATCGACTGGAGCAGCTCGCGCTGATGAGCTCTGAGCTCCAACTCGTGATCTGGAAAATCAGGGTCGAACGATTTGGACCCGCTGCCCGAGTGGTCACGGACGAGATCCCGGAGATTTCTCTCCGTGTAGGTCACGAGCGCGCTCGCCAGAACCATAGGCTTGGCGCCTCGCTTTTTCATGGCGGGGATAATTTGTGATACAAATTCAATGTCGAGGATGGAGAGCTCCTCCATCCACCAGTTGGGCGGCGAGCGGCTTGGGAAGTTGGCCTCATTGCACGCCTGGAAATTATATACACAGCAGAAAGAAATCAGTACTAATGGTTGTTGGGCTTTGACTGGAGCATTTCATCGAGCACGTTATGATCATCATTTACCCTGAGGCTGATGACCTCAACGCAGCGGCTGACGATTTGGAGGTCCTGAGCAAGGGGGAGGAGATCCTCGCAGGATTTAAGCACGACGACGGCAGCGGAGAGGGTGGTGAGGGCGACCTGGGAGAGGAAGTCTTCGGTCCGGCCGGCGAGGTTGGCGTCGCAGTAGGCGTCGGTCATCTCAAGAAAGTCGGCGGCGCAGCGGAGAGCGGCGACGTTGTGGACCGTGATCTCGAAGTTGACGCCGTAGCAGAACTTGGCAGCTTTCTCGAAGATTTCAGGGCCGCCCGGGATGTCGGAGAGGTCGATCCTCGTGAGATCGGTTTCTTTGGAGTCGATGATCAGCTTCCTGATGTAGTTGCTCTTGGCGACTAGCATGAACTGCAGTTCAGAGAGAAGACATTAATTATCAAGCAAAGGGAAGGCGATGCATATATATAGACCATAGCAAAGCAGAGAGGTTAAGACCTTGTGGAGGGAGAAATTGGCTTCACCGACTTCGACGAGAACGTCCGTAGGGATATCCTGAGAGAAGATCCATTGGCCGGTTCTCTCCATTGCAAGGGAAGTCCTGGTGGTGTTGTTGCTGCTCCTCAGTTGGGGTTGGGGATCCATTGGCCGGGGAGAGAAGAATTGGTGAAGAAAGAGATGTGAGAGCGGGGGGGGTTTTTGAAAGAGAAGAGAGCGGGGGTGGGGGGCCTGGTTGGAAGGAGATGGGCTTTTTTGGGCTCTCGACACCCTGGAACTGGAAGTGTCACGATCCGGCCAGCCCCAAAAATGCAACGTGGCAGCCTCACAACCAAGGCAGTCCAAATCAAACCTCTCGCAGCCAAAGAGGACCATGACACGTGGAGGCCTTCACGACCATGAACCAAAACAGGCAAGTTGAAACAGGCGGATAGGGTAGCGAAAAATAATGAGGCAAAGCAGATGGGGTGAGTCGAGAAGCAAAACGACAGATTGGGTGCATGTAATTTGCTCCAATTATAGGGTGGACGTCGGAGTCCAAACCCGAACTAACTGAAGCCATCCGATTCAGGCAGCAATGGCAGTAAAGTAAAGGGCGGCATGATGAAGATGAGCGGTGTGATCCGGCCAACTTTTGTGCGAGATGTCCAGTCCGAATCCGACAATTTGGCCACACTCACTCGCAATTCCTGTAACCAACTTGCTCGCTCATCTGATCCGGATCTGATTTTAGTTGTAGATTGCATCCACAAGATAAGGCAGGCGGAGGGACCTAACCTAATTGCGCTTGGACTCTTGTGAGTTTCATTGATAGGATTCGGATTTCCCTGGATCACGATTTACTTGGACTTCTCAGTCGTCTACTCTTGCTAGACTAGTATGATGATCGGTGATTGAATTAGGGGATTTAGATTTTGGAATAACTTGCTCCATATTCTACAGTGACTGACAGCCTCTTCTCAATGGCTCTAAACGAAGGCCAGTTGCTCTACCACTATTACAGTACTACTGCTTTACTTTTACAATACTACAAATATATAAATACATAATGGTACCATTTCCTCCTTAGGAATTCCTACACAACACATGGCAATTGACTTTTTTGTTGGATTGCACTTTAACCTTGAGATGAGATAGAACCAATGATGTCAAAGCCGAGCCGGAGTATGACCCGGTAACGTGAACGGCTCGGTCATTAGTGGTCCAGCCGGTATTAGACCGTTTAAAAACCGTTTGAGAACCGGTACCTAATATTGAAAATTACGATGCATATAAGATGAGTTTTTTAAAGTTTAATTTCACTAATTATTTATCTCTAATGATGAATATCTAAAGTGATTGTATATGGAAAAAATTATTATTTCATTTTTTCCTATTAAAACTTCCCTTATTTTAACCATAAAAAACCTTCCCTTATCTTTTACAGATTCACCCACCGTTGAGTTACCCACCACAAAACTTCTTCTCCCTCTTCCTCCACTCTCTCTCCCTCTTCTGTGACACATAACTCTGTTTTTCTCTTCATTTTTCGGCGATCGATTTCGCGCATGCAACCAGTGATTGAATCATTATCTTCTCACAGATCAGTGATTGACACACAAGACATTGGAAACACTAATTCGTAGGTGAAAGGAGAATGGTCTGCATCGGAGACTACCGATTCGATCGGAGGAAGAAGAAACAAAAGCGCTGGCGACCGTCGATCGATTTCGCGTTTTCACGCTCTAATTCGGGAGCGGCGAGGGCCGACCCACGAATTGGGTGACCTAAGGCTCGATGCAACAGGGGAGGGCAACTCAATGCAACAGGGGAGGGCAGCAAGGGAGATGCTCTATGCAACAGGGGAGAGGCAGAGTGTCGATGCAACAGGGGAGAGGCAGAGAGTCGATGCAGGGGACAGGGGAACGAGCTGGCGCCGCCGCCGCCGACGATGGCGACATGCGACAGGGGAGTGGCGTCGAGGGATGGCGACAGTCGATGGCGTCGAGCGATGGCGAACGGCGACGGCGTCGAGCGATGGCGAACGGCGACGGCGTCGAGCGATGGCGAACGGCGACGGCGTCGAGCGATGGCGAACGGCGACGGGGAACGGCGACGGTGAACGGCGACTGCGGAGGGCGAGGCTTCTTCGTTCTTTCGTCTTCGTGTCTGGCTGCGCGAAGGAAGGGGGAAGAAATGAATTGAATTAGGGTTACGTTTTCATTCAGCCCCTTTCATTTTCATTTTTTATTTTTGTTTTTGTTTTTTTTTTATTAAAGCAACCGGCCCAAATGGTAAAAGCCGGCCGAGCGGTTCGAGCGGTTAACCGCTTCGGCCGCTCGCCGACCTCCCCAATTAACCACTCCGTCTAAATAGCTGAGTCGAGCCGGTTTTATGGCCGGGTGGCGGTTTTCTCGGCTCGGCCGGCCGGCTCGGCTTTGACAGCACTGGATATAACTCATCCAACGACCTTCTAATTCCAGCCACCAACGAATATACCCATTTGTAAAGATAAAGGTTGTCAATCCGAGGGTCGACCCGCTTTGATCCTGATCCGGTGAGAAAAATGGGTCACATGCACTCGACGGGTCGACCACTACAAGGTACCGGGTTGGAGGTTAAATTGTGCTATTTTTTCTTTAGTTTGCGAAATGCATCTATTTTCCTATTTTTCTTTTCGCCTAACTCCATTTTTGGAATCCTAAGTTGAACATTTGAATATTGATGTTGTATAAGTGTGAGTGAATTTTCACTACATGTTGGATCTAAGTACGATAGGTTATTTTGGTGTAATATTATATGTTTTTAACTCATATGTTAGATGAGATTTGATATAATTTATCATGATAAGTACAATATAATGACTCTTTCCATGTTTCAGGGCTAAAACGGGTGACCCATTAACCCTTGACCCACTAGCTCGATCGGGTCCGGGTCATCTCGCAGGTTGACAACCTTGGTAAAGACCATTTGGTCCTCAACGAAGCAAGACGGGCGATTATGAGAGGCTTAAATCGAGGATGGAAAGGAATTTGATTATCACTGACAACCTTCTTAATCAAACAATCAAACACATCAATTGCAATAGTGAAAATGTATGGGAATAGAGGGTCCCCTAGTCTTAAACCCCTACTAGCTGAAAACTTCCCACACAAACCACCATTTATAAACACACTTCTGCATGGAGTAGTAATACAAGCACGAATCAATGTCACAAAACCATCACGGAACTTCATAGCAGTCATAACATCAAACAAAACTTACAATTCACAAAGTCAAATGATTTCATCATGTCTATTTTGACCACACTTCTAGAGGATAAGGAGGCTTTCTTGTAATCTCTCACTAATTTTGAAATCAATAGTATATTATCACTAATGGCTCTCCCTTTGAACAAAGCAGTTTGAGATATAACTTTTGCAAGGACAAGAGTAAGTCTGTTTGCAAGAAGTTAGAAATCCCCTTATACAACACATTGCCACACGTTTTAGGACGAAAATCTTTCATGCTTTTTGAGCAAGGAAGCTTAGCAATAAGAAAAAATATTATAGAATTCACAGTATGAGACATATCCAGTAGAAAAGATCTTAAGGATTACCTCTTCCACCTCGTTCCCAAAAATTCCCAGAAATCCAGGAGGAATTCCATAGGGAAGCCATTAGGCCTCGTCTCTCCCCATATCTATAAAACTTGTCTTATTTAGGCCTGTAGATACTCTCACTAAAACTTTACAGTCAGCCAGGTGTAACTTGTGTTGGATAGGGTTCCAAAAAATCTTCAAGTTGCTACACCATTTCACATTAGTAACTACGTGCCCCTGAGAAATTAGGGGTGTTCAAATGGTTACCATGGTAATAACCAAACCAATTAAGTCTAAATTTCATTAACCATGGAATAAAATGTCTTAACCAAACCGTCCAAATTAACACGAAAACCAAATTAACCAAACCAAAGTTTAATTGGTTTGGTTAATCGGATGATTGGATTAACCAAATAACATAACATTACATGAAAACATTATATTGTGCGTAATCCTAAAGTCTAGTAGCTGTCTCAAATGTTTTGGTTTAGTAAATAGGCAGGCCCATTTAATTTTTGACCCATAATGTTTTGGTTTGTTGTGCACATGGAAATAAAATAGGGAATCACAAAAGTTGGGTTTGGTTGGTTGCATGAAAGTATAAATAATTTTGTATATTAGGTGTATCATTAATTGGTTAATTGGTTTCATTGGTTAGTAGTGTTGAAACCAAACCAAACCACCTAAACCAAATAAGATAAATTGTTTAACCAAACCAAACCAATTATCCAAATTAACCAAACCAAATTAACCGAATACTACTGGTTAATATGGTTACCATGGTAACCAATCCGTTTGAACACCCCTACCTGAGAATCAACCAGTAGGGTAATCTACTACGTCTAAGATCTTGTTTTTCACACAGATTTATGGAAGAACGAGGTGTTAGCATCACCCTCTTGGATCCACTTAGTTCTAGACTTATGCCTATAGAAAGAATCTTGTGATTTTCTAGCTTCAGAACACTCCAACCCCACACACTTTTCTTCCTCTACCAATTTATGTAACCAACTTGTTGGTTCGGGTTAGATTACACACTTTTGTACCCTTGACTAGTGACGTTTGATGTGTTTGCACCATCCTTGTAGCTAGTTTACCCGGAGGGGGAGGGGGGGGGGGTTGTTCGTGTTTTGTCATGTTTCACACCTAAGCAGGTGATATTGGCACCAGGATCATAATTCAGACGAAAGAGGGTGAAAAGGGAGCAAAATGGTCAAAAGTGCAGAGATCACAGTTGCGTAGCAATTATCACGGGCGCATACCATGACGTGGACAAGAAAACCGTGAAGATTGGACACTCTAGGAGCCTTCAGATGTCTCGAGGGCAGTGTCAAAATCATGGTCTCCAAACCATGATGTCAACAAGTAGCCCGTAAAGTTCGTTAGTGAAACGACACATTTAGCGCCGAGATCACGGTTTCACTGTCGACTTCATGGGCGTGATATGATACCGTGATGTGTGTACCATGGAGCTATATAAAGGAGAGTGAGCTAATTTGAACAGGGAGAGTTCTAAAGGGAGATTGGAGGCTTCTTCTTCAAGACTAGAGAGAGAAAGATAGATAGATAGATATATATATATAGAGAGAGAGAGAGAGAGAGAGAGAGAGAGATATGAGCTAAGAAGGAAGGAAGAAGAATTTCACATACCTAAGGCTAGAGGAAGGCTTATTTCTCCTCCAAGAGTTTAATCAAGCATCTAGGAAAAGGAGGAAGAAGTTTGCTATGGTTTTCTTCTCTATTCTAGTTGTACCTTCTCTTCTAGCTATGGAGTAGTCTCCTATTTCATTTGGATGTTGTTAACCCTAGTCTAGGATGTGTTGGATTGTAAGAATTGAACTCTATGTGTGTTGGGTTTGTGATTTATATAATGATTGACGTATTATTCATGAAATTTGGGTGTTCTTGATAAAATGCCTTAATATAGGGAAAAGTTCACCTAGAAGGAGGAAATCCCCTTATAGCCCACTCTTGGAGATTCGGGCAACCTTCTTCAGGCCAATTCGGTTAAACCCTCGATCATCGAAGAAGTGTCATGATACATCTTGATTGGTTACTTTTCACTATTATGGATTCAATTATGAAGAAGTGGTTTTGCAAGCATTATTCAATAGATTAAATGCACTAGGAAACACTTGAATATGTTTTCTAGCTAATTTTGATCTCCTACGGTATTTAATCCTACCTATCGCACAAGAGTCTCATCTTTGTGTCTTAAAACGGAACTAGGGGGAGCAATGTCCTACTCATTCTTTCTCATTTGAATTGACCAAATTTAATTGCTTGCGTGTTTGCTATTTTAGTCTCCTGAGCTTTAACCACAATTCGATTGCTAGATAATGTGTAAATGGCCGAAGTAAGGATAGAAAGTCCGCTCGGGTTGATATTGAAATACTTATCCGATCCTAGAACTGATTATAGGTTGCAGTTGGCCTATAGTTGGGATATTGTGTAGTGGAAACTCCATCGAAACTCGCAGCATCGTTGATCTCCCAACATTGTTGAGCTCGTAGCCTCGTTAACCACACGATGTTGTTGGTCCCACTATGAGTTATTCTCCTTCTAATTGAGCTCGAGTACGTGACGTAAACATCGTCGTTCAAAACGCCGACCTCTCAGCCACACGGTCTGGATGCAAAGTCGTAGGATCCCCAAAATAGTTTAGGCAAAACAATTTTGTTGTTTGTTTCCACAACATTGTCGAACTCGCGACATTGTCACTCAACGCGGAGACATTGAGATCTCAACCTTGCAACACCGATGAAATCGTAGTATTTAGCTCACAGCGTTGATCACAACCTCATTGGTCATGCGACCTTGTCAAGCTCGCGACCTTGTTGACCCCCGTGATGTTGTTGAGCTCGTGGCATCGTTGAACTCGCGACGACGCAACAATATGATTTTATGGCAAAAATAATTTTAGGTGTAAACAGATTCATTTCATTTTGCTGACTTAGTTTTGGAAAATTAATAAAATAATAATAATTTGAAATAAAATTAAAATATATTTCCCAATATTTTTTTATTGTTTGGGTTAATACATTAGTTTGGTCTAAATTTTACACTAATAAACTACTTTGGCCAAATTTTCTTAAATTTCTATTGTGAACATTTGCTAACAATTTGGACATCTTTGCCCCGACTCGTGGGCTGACCACCAAGTAGGGATGACAATCAAACCCACGACCGTCCCGACCCAATCAACGCAGGGAATCCCCGCTTTGACTAGGTATGGGGCGGGTACGAGTAAAACCCACAAAACGTTTGATAGGTATGGGACGGGTATAGTTTTAGCCTCCCCCGCCCCATATACCCATATCCGTACCAGCCCCACCAAGAGAATTTCTTCACATATAAAAAAAAGATCAAATTGTGATCTATCAATGATAGTGAGGATGGTTTAGGCAAACCCGTCCCAAACCCGCCCCATTGTCATCTCTACCACCAAGTCGGATGGCTAATGGTTGAATCCTCCTTCCTCTAGGAAACATAAGTTCGCCCAACACCTTATCTTTTTTTTTTTCCATAGATATCCCCAAAGGAGAAGAGCATATACGACGTATAATAATACATGCCACCTTTACAAGTCAAATCACAAAAAAAGAATGAAAAGACATTTGCAGGCTTGACAATAATAGGATTTTACTGCCCTATATTTCCTTTGCAAGGAGATAGTTATGAATACAACCATCCTAAATTATATTATATAAACATAAATCCATGTTACTGTCGCCTATATCTTTGCTCTCATTGGTTCTTTCTTTCTTCTTTTTCCATGCATATGTTTTTCCTTTTTCCTTTTGATAAAATATGTTTTCCCATTTTAAGATTTTGCAAATTCTAAGTAATTCATAGTTGTATTTTTTTGCATGAGATATTTGGATTCACACCTATTCTAAAAAAATGTTTCTCAATTTGAGAGTTGTGAACTTCTGATAATATTGTAACTGTGGAAATAAATTTGCAACAGTGGTACCCGCCCGAATCTGACTTAATCAGATAGGGTAAAATTCGAACTCTGGTGATTTTTAGGGGGTGTGAAAAAAAAATTGAATCCGAATATTGCGGTAATGGGTGGGCATGGTTTTCTCACTATGCAACCTAAATCTCCTCGATTATACACATGCATATATTTTTTTTTCTATAAAAATCCTTATTTTTCTCTATAACCTTGATATTTATTATACATATATAATATTTTCGTGCAGTTGTGTTGTTTTAACTAATTTTGTTCATTTTAGTGATTTTTATTGTCATACGCAATGTCATTATACGAGTGAATGTTAACATGTTGGTTAAAAAAATATATAAAGAGAAGTTATTGCCCATGTAAACCCAAATCATCGAGAATGGGCATGATTTTAATTTTCTGCTCGATTCTTGTGTGAATGAGTATGGGTAAAACCAAACTATTCTAGGTAGGATAATGGATATGCATTATCCGCCTCCGACCCAATCAATTTCAATTCCTGATTTTCATTAATCCTTTTTCCTTTTGTTCATTTGATAGAAATTAGGATGACAAAATTACCGTTGGTACTTGTTACCCAAATGAATTTGAATAATCTTATTTGAAAATTTCCAATCAATAAGATATTTTGGGGGTTTACCTTAAACTCAACAAAGAAAGTAATATTTTTTAGTATTCCTTCCAAAATCAACCGACTATTTACTACAAGCGCGATTTAGATTCCCTCACTTCACCCGTTAGAACACTCATATCTTTAAGATTTAGTTTTTATTTTAGACTTCCACTCTTGCTTATTTCTATTCATTTATCCAAAAATATATTTAAAATCCGTCAACATCAACATCTGAAGAAAAATATTGTGCAGTATCAAGAACTATTTGCTAGGTTAGATTTGGCAATGTCATATTATAAAAGAAAATTGTATGAGGATGATTACTGTTTAATCATGGTTCAATGTTGATATACAAAAATAATTGTTATATAATTTCATCAATAAAAATTGATACAAAAATAATTTTTGTATTTTGTTGCTTCAATTCAAACTATATGGTGCTAGGTTATATAGTAGATATCAGCCCGACACCGGAATAATCTATTAATGGTTTGATTTTGTGTTCGGTGCATTCAATTAGAATAATGCATTAACTACTTGTGATTTTATGTTATATCATCATATTAAACTCATGTTACCAATCAAACTCTAAAATTAGATGTCTTAAGACTACTTTTAAAATTGGGTGAATAGTGAGCACTTCTACTATGCTATATAGTATTGGTGCTTTAATGTACAACTTAAAGTTGTACCATAACATTAAATGTATAAGTTTAGGTTGTACCATAAAGCAATTTGTATCATTATGTTATGGTACAACTTTACAACTTGAAGTTGTACCATCACATAAAAATACAAGTTCAAGTTGTACCATAAAAGAATTTGTACAAAAAGTATAGATACAATCTGAAGTTGTACCATAACATAAATGTACAATTTTAAGTTGTACCATAAAGACAAAATCCTATAGCACCAATACTATATAGCATTGTAAAATTTCTCGTGAATAGTATGTACGCATTTTTATAATATAAGATGTAATGATGTTATTGTATTAAAACAAAATAATGCACACAAAGCTTGAGGAAAGTCCATCAACTCCTTCACGTAGTAGGCAACTTCGTAGACTTCAGAGAAATCCACCACGTCCAATGCTCTGCAAAACAAGCAAACAACAAACATAGTCAAAAAGGACTATTCAAGTATCAATAGGCCCAATTAAGCTTTGAGACCCAAAAGCAGCAAGCATGTGGAAGAACCAAAGAAGGAACTAGGGCCCAGCTACTTGACCTGATAACAAGGCAAGCCACTAATAGAAAACAAATTCCATAAACAAAAAGAGCCCGTCCAAAAATTGCAGCAATACCCAAAGAGGAAAGACCCCCTTTTTATGCCAATCCACTATCCATCTCACCGCCTGACCGCCATAGTGAGTGACAGAGGATGGAGGCCGCGGTAGTTCCGATGAGTTCACACTGGTCAGAGAAGGTAGTAGATGCCAGATCAAGGGGAGCTCAGAGGAGCAAGGCCTGACCAGGCCCTGGCAACAGGAAGGAAAGTGAAGACAGAACAAATGCGCGCTGCGAACCATCTGAGGGGAATGGGGATCGAAAGCAAATACAAAAGCAAACCATAACAGGGACACGGAAATCAACCGAAGAAAACTGAGTAACAACTAATAAACACTAATTAAACAGCAACGTCAATCTTAAACAAGTCAATTTGAATAATAAACATTATAATTAGCCAAGTAGACCAATCAAAAGAGAATTAATTTCGCAACGAGCAACGATACCCCAAATTGAATTATGGGAAAATATCACAAAAAACCGAGAGGCCAAAAGGAGAGAGATGACGGCGAGACAGAGATGACAATTGGCACTTGGCAGCGCAGGACCGACCTCGAGGGTGACCCAAGCCGGCTGCGCCGACGGGTTTTGAGGGAGCGGTTAGCATGACTACCCCCATAAGGGGTTTGATTTTTGACACCCCACTTAGATGCCATCCATTTTTATTAGTGTTAAACGAATGGTTAGGATTAAACATCTGTTTATTGAGCAGTAATCACGTAATTAATGCTCTATAACCTACATTGAAAAGGAAAGAAATCGGGTAACGAGGAAAAAATGGTTCCCAAGGTCAATACAAAATTAATTAACCCTCACCCTTTTATCAGTCCCTCTCGTCTCCTCCTATCTCCCTCTCAATAACCTATCTATGGAAACCCTCCCCCGACGTAACCTCTTCCCGCGATGGAATCATCACCCTTCCGGCCTCCGTTACGATTCCTCAACGACCATTGGCGGCCCATCCCATCCGTCGGCCATCCTCCGACTTCACGCCAAAAGTCTATCTTTTCGATCGTCGACGCGAAGGGATCGACAGGGAAGACGATGACCCTCCTCACCTTTCCGGCGAAGACGACGACCCTCCTACCTTTTTCGGCGTTGGCCCTCCTCCCCTTTCCGGCGAAGACGACGAAAAAGAATCTGAGGTAGCACTCTCTCCCAAACTCATATATATGGGTTTTTCGTGTGGTATTAGTACTAGTGCAATGGTCTTTTCATCACCAGATCTGTGTTTTTGAGTTTCGAGAACTGGATTTTTTCTTGTGGTATTAGTACGTGTGTACTGGTATGTCTATCACTGGAGTGGTATAAATTGTTGATTCTGGTACGGAAGTATACTACTCCAGTGATAGTTGATTCTTGGATAATGTAGTGTTGTTTATTTGACTGCAGTCTATCACCACATTGATATAGTTAACCATGTGAATGTTTTTGTGGCATACTGTGTCTATCACTTTAGTGGTAGATCTATCACTGCAGTTGTTGATCTATCGCTGCAGTGGTAGATCTATCGCTGCAGTGGTAGTTCGTTGTGATGTTTTTGTGGGTAGTGCTATCACTGTAGTGGTACAATCAAAATCATTATGGTTGTTTAAAGTACAACTACCGTAGTAGTTATGTTTAGAATGGCTTTCTAGGATAGAGCTATCAGTGGATTGATATATCTGCAGTGAAAGTCTTATTGTTGATCTCATCTATCAGTAGTTATATTTATTGGTTTGACTTTTGATTTTACCTTCTTTGATATCAGTCAGAGCAGTGAGTTCCTCGAGAAGTTGTGGAGCGGCGTCGGATGCACGCTAGGAAAGACAAATCGCACGGACCAGGGAGTAGAGCACGTTCCGGACTACAAGTGAGAGCGATTAGGGAGCTTGCAAAATGGAGCAATGACAATGAAGATATTTATGGTCCAACAACTCTTAATGTCGAGTTTCAACGAAAGTTAAAGAGGCTTGAGGTGGAAAAATATATTGTATTCATTTGGTTAATCGAATTGATGAAGAATTTAATGGATGCATATTTTGGGAACTTTAATGGTATTTGGTGCTCTATTTTCACATTAGTAGTATCCTTCCCCGAATTCTTATAGTTTAGTGGCGTGTAGTGTATTTCTCCCATACAAAATACAAATGAAGTGGTACATTAGAAGTGGCAAATACGAGTTGGAGTGAGAACAATACTAGTGAAATGATATTTTTCATAACAATGATAAACAATAACGGAGCAACAATGCAGTACCACTTCAATGATGCAAATACCAGTAAATTCCCTCATGCCATACTCTCTGTGGTACATGTATCAGTTTAGTGATACATGTATCAGTCCAGTGGTATATGTATCTGTTCAGTGGTACAAGTACATTATATCTAATGCTGCAATGGTAATGTTTGAACATCGATATTTCATCTAGAAATTTGTCCCTCAACAATTTTAAAACAAGTTTACAAACTTCAATATTGGTCCCGGAACAATGTATCACTAGACTGGTACATAAAACCACAACATTAAGGGTAAGCACTGTTACTCTTGTCATGTCACTGATACATGTTAATTCAAACAAATATACTAGTTTACGACCGTATTGACAACACCTAATGCAAAGCAACTAGGTTGTTTACGCAGCTTCAATAACCAGTGGTGTCCGTCTGGACCTTTTCAGGGGAAAAATACCATTGCAGTGGCATTGTATCACTTCAATGATACAAAATACCAGTGCACTGGTACATTGCCGGGCGGGAGAAGTCGACGAGACATGAATACAGATCCTTACTGAGATTGTTTTGGTGTTCCTCGGCTTCTCTAATTGGCTCCACTTTCACGGCAGTGCCACCATCTTTCATATGCTCGACGTTAATGATTTCGGACCGCGTGAAGTGATGAAGTCGATGTATACATACCAATCCACTGGTACACGTACCACTCCACTGGTACACGTACCACTCCACTGGTGCGTTTCCTCTGCCGCCGGCTTCCATATGCTCGACGTTAGAGACGAAATCGTCCAGATCATCTTGATGATTTCCGGCCGTGTGAAGTGATGAAGTCGATGTCGCAGGGGAGGAGACTCGAGGGGAATGGAGGGAAGGGAGAGGGTCGGCGGAAAGGGAGGCAACAATAAGTTGGGCCGCTGATGGAAGTTGGCCGACGGAGGGTGGATCGCCGGAGGGAGGGTTTGCTGGACTGAGAAGACGTCACGAGAGGGTTTTGGTGGAAAGAAATTTGAAAGGAAGAGAAGGGGAGATGGAAGATTGTTGTTTTCCCGTTTATCATTATTATGGGAACTTTCCCATGCATCATTATTATGAGAATTTTCCCAATAAAGCAATAATAATGACAACTTCCCAATAAAGCAATAATCATTAGTACTCACCCAAAGATGAAGGACACGTGGATAGCTGCAGGAGGGGGTGTCAAAAACCCAACCCCTTTGGGGTAGTCATAGTATCCTGCCCCGGGTTTTGATAACAATCGGAGCGAGAGCGGAGTCTCTCTGATCGTCGTTTCTGGAGAGAATCGAGAGAGTTCTGAGGCGACTCTCTGTTTGAATTTTTTCCTTCCGCCCATCACCTTATCTTTATGGCGAAGTTCTTTTCATTAACTAATAAATTAATTTTCGGTACTAGCCTTAATCAATTTCTTTCATAAATGAATTTTTTTTTATGATAAGTTAGTAATTAAAATTACTATATAAAAGCCTAGGTTTGAGTTACTATTCATTAGTAACTCTCACACTCCTCCAAGTGCAAGTGGGAAAGTTTCAACTCCTTCTTTTACCCCACTCTCCATTCCACAACCTTTGTATTTATTTATTGTTTGCTAGGTTTTCGTCTATGGCTTTTTGCACAAATCATCGCCTTTGTGTTATCATCGCCTTTGTGTTTAGTTATTGACTTATTGTTCGCTAGGTTTTCGTCTATTACTTTTTGCACAAATCATCGCCTTTGCCCACCACTTTGCAGGCCATCATGAAATACTGTCGGCGGGATCCTAAGTTGTTCCCCACCACCATTTTTTAAGACCTCTACTACGAGTTTTTTTATTGGGATCGAGTTTCATCCTCTTCAGTGTTATTTTTTCTTTCTTTTCTTCCTTTTTTGTTGAGTAACCCAAACAGATGTTTATCCTATCTTGAACATAAATAATCGCCTTTGCCCATCATTTTGCAGCCCATCTCGAAATACTGTCGGGGGAATTCTAAGTTGTCCCCCACCATCGTTTCCCAAGTCCGCTACCACAAGTTTTGTATCTGGACCGAGTTTCATCCTTTTTAGTGTTTTTTTCTTTCTTTTTTTCTTTTTTGTTGAGCATAATCACAATTTAACCCAAACACATGGGTATCCTAACTTGAACACAAATCATCGCCTTTGCCCATCCTTTTGCATCCCATCTCGAAATATTGACGGCGGAATCCTAAGTTGTTCCTCACCATCGTTTCCCAAAGCTGCAACCACGAGTTTTGTATCGAGGTTCATCCTCTTTAGTGTTTTTTTCTTTCTCATTTTCATTTTTGTTGAGCATGATCACAATTGAACCCAATGTCGCTACCAAAAATTTATACCATATATACTCAATGTTGGTGAGTTTTGTATCGTAACTGAGTTTCGTTCGCTTTAGTATTTTTTTTCATTCACATTATCCTTTTTGTTGAGCATGATCACAATTGAACTCGAATCCACGAGTATCCAACCTAATTCGATTGGGTCAAAGCGACTTGAAACAGACTTTGGCATTTATAAATTTCTCTTTTTTTGTCTTCTTTTGGTTGGGAAGACAATTGAACCGGAAACTACGGTTTTGACGAGTGTTATATTGTGAGCGAGCTTTATCCGCTTTTGTAATTGGCAGGTTGAACATGTGTTAATTTGTTAAAAAATTGTTCAAAGTGAGTCGAACACATTGTTGACCAGTTTTAGATCAAAAGCGAGTTTTGTACGCTTTAATGGTTTTTATTTCTCATTTTCCTTTTCGTTGAAAATGACAATTGAACTCTGACCCATTGTTGACATGTTTCGTATCGAGAACTAGTTTTATCTGCTTTTTTAATTGACAAGTTGGGTAAGTTGTGTTAACTGGGTCGACCCGGTCAAAGCGAGTTGAACGCAGTGTTGAGAGTTTGGGGTCATAAGCGAGTTTTATCCGCTTTAGTATTTTTTTTGTATCTTTTTCCTTTTGGTTCAGAATGACAATTGAGTCCAAACGCTTCGGTATACAACCTAATTTGACCCGACCAAAGCGACTTGACCCCGATTTTACAGGTTTTTCGGCGGGAGCGATTTTTATCTGGTTTTATAACTGACGTGTTGTGTCAGGTGTGGATTTGTCCAAAACGCGGTCCAATCAGGTCAAAGTGAGTTGAACTTGGTATTGACGAGTTTTGAGTCGGTAGCGAGTTTTAGCTTTAGTGTTTTTCATTTCGCTTTTTCCTCTTGTTTGAGAAAGACAATTGAACTCAAATCCATGGGTATCCACCTAATTTGACTCGATCAATGCGAGTCGAACCTCCTCAAACCTGCAATCAGTCAAAAAAATTCATAAATGAGAACCACTATTACCTTAAACCCAAAAAAGGCAAAAAAGTACGGCTATGTTTGGCCTGAATTTTAGAAGTTTTATGTTTTAAAAGTTGAAGCCAAGCCAAACACCTCTAAAGTTTCACTTTTTAAAAAAATGAAATTTTTCGTAACTTAAAAGCAGAAGCTCCAATTTGAAAGTACAAAATTATCGTTACCATATATTATTCTTTTTCTAGAAAATATAATTTTCTTTCATTTATATCATTCGAATAAATAAATTAAAAAATTGTATTATTTAATATGAAATAAATGTAACGCGATCCATTTTAAATACATTTTTATTTTTAGAATTTGTCTTCATATTTTATGTTATAAATATTTTTTAGTAATTTTTCATTACTCTTTTATTATAAAGTAATTCTGATAGTTTTTCAGCTAAACACTAAACAATTTTTTCAGAAAAGCTACTTCATTATGCAAAAGTTACAGTAGGATCAATTACTAGCCATACAAATTGAAGCCTCATGAAAGAAATTTAAACATAAATAATCTATTCGACGACTCTTCAACCTTATGCAAGTTTATCGACCATATGATATTGTAAATAACAAACCTATGAAAAGAATGATTAAGAATGAAATAAAATTACTTTCACTTTTGGGTTAACATTAAAACTATTACTCTTTCAAATATTTATTTTTTTAAAACGTGAAGCGATAGCAAGCACTCTTTTCCTAGTTTTAGTTATTCTCATCTCATCATAATAATTAACTTCCTTGACCATATGAAATCCTAATCATATAAGTATTGACTATAATTGTTTGGTTAGCACAACAATCCTAACAACACATTATAGAGATTCCAGCCATCATCGCCTTTTAATTATGTTTTCCTGCGCTCTGCGCAGTTCACGGGAGGCCAATTTGGTAAAATGGCTCCGTTCCATTGTGATGGGCCGCGTATAAAAAATGGCTCCGTTACATTGAGATGATCCGCGTAGAAAATGTCTAGGCCTTCCTCAAAGCCCAACGCAAACTTGAACGTCGCTGCTGGCTCCGTCATCGGGTCGGATTGGGCTGCTGGACGGACCGAGACTCTTCCCTCTTGCCATCTCTCCCAAACGAACCACAACTCGCCAGCCGCCGAACTCGATCTGCTCCCGAAATTCCCTGACCTCGCCGCGAAATCCCCTATCGTCGCCTGCCCAAACAACCTCACCGCGACATCATCGTCTCGGTGGTCAATTTTCCCCCTCCCTCGAAGTCCATTACAGACCAAGACTCTTCCCTCTTGCCATCTCTCCCAAACGAACCACAACTCGCCAGCCGCCGAACTCGATCTGCTCCCGAAATTCCCTGACCTTGCCGCGAAATCCCCTATCGTCGCCTGCCCAAACAACCTCACCGCGACGTCATCGCCTCGCTGGTCAATTT